AACATTCCAGAACGTAGTGAACATTTATTGTGAATAGAGCCTAAAGTGTCTAATGATGATGAGTCAGCACTGATCAACATTAAATTCTCTAATATTTCTAATATTTAAGAATTGAAGAAGTTGATAAGTGTCAAAATGTTATCAAGTGAAGTTAGTAAATGTCAAAATACAAATTGTCATGTTTTATGATGCACTTGTGAAATCTGATGCTGGGATTCCTTGCATCTGGCTCATGGTATCAGAGAATCCTGTATCTCCAAACATGCATACAGTTCCATAGACTTCAGTGCATGCTTTCCTGAAGGTAGAATTGAATGTGTTATTTACAAAGAAAGAGTGTCCCATGAAAACACAACCCATAATTTCTAGTTATGAGACATATTAGTTTGCCAGTATTTTGTATATCCAGTTGATGTAGCCTCAGATTAGATTAATAGATTAATGTGCCTTCCATATCAGGGACTTCCCGGTCTTCCAGGAGCTCCTGGTGAACAAGGCCCCGAAGGATTTGGATTACCAGGACCTAAGGTACAGGCCATTAAACTCAAGTATAAAGCAAATTCTCATTTACACAGATATTATTTCCTTCAGATGGGTTATATTCGAAGTACAGTCAAGTCTGTTTAATCTAGATTTGGTTTATTCATTAGTATCTAAAATATTATCCCTTACAGAGACTTCTAGCGCATGGAGAGAAAATGTGCTTTTTTCATATTATTGCATATAATCCTCTGTATTTTTTCAAAAATATATCCGTTATCAGATATATATCAGAGACCAAACACACTCCATATTCAACGCAGTCATGGCCTAAGGACTTTTTGTTTTCTCTTAAGAGGACACTTACAACCTGTTTAGAATAGAAGTAATAATTTGCCTAATGAAAATCGCATGAGATTTTCCTGAGAGATACTAGTAACTATTAATGAATATTCCATGGTCACACTAGCTAAGGGCAATGAATGGCTATGGACTATGTACACAAATGGAAATAGCTCAAAGGAATCTACAAAATTTAGGGAGAGCCCAGATTCTGTTCCCGTTGAAATCAATGGCAAAACTCCCACTGATTCCAATAGGAGCCTGATCAGATCTATAATTAACAAATATGTGTAGCACTGATATATGCTTTAGATATGGTGCAATATCACCATAAATGTAATTGCCCTTTAATGGTGCACTGTGGTATATTTATTATGTGCTGTGTTTCATTCTTTCGTTCAAACTTTGCTTCAGAACTCAGTTATCCCTGTCACAATTTGATACCAATTAGGTGATAAAAGTCAACTTTTTGCCTGTATAGGTCTTTCCAATGACTAGTGAGTGTACAGAGCATAATGGGATATCACTTCCCTTTCCTATGACGGTCATCTAGATATACTGACAATTGTTAATATAAATAAAAAGGAGCGGGCAAGCTGATTTGAAGTATACAAATACTTTGATGGGATTTCTATAGTTTTATCATATTTTATGTATCTTGACATAAAACTCCCTCCTAACGTGAACAGAATCCCGGCTGTCCCAGGCCCCTGAGGGGTAAAGAGAAACACCAAACAGTAACTAAATAACATGCAGTACAATTCAACTTCCATTAGAGTCAAAGGAGTGACTACCATTGGCTCAGTGGCAGCTGGCTCAAACCCCTGGTCACTCTATAATAAGAGTACTGAAATTATAGTGACGTTATGGCAAAGTCCATTTGCAGCAGCTAAGAGGAGCTAGTCTTTTGTTCTTCAGTCAAAATGGACAACATGCCAGTGCTCATTGCTAGTTTAATACATTTTCTTTGACCCACCCTGCCCTGCTCTTTAATTAGACTTGTTCAGACATGTGCTTTGGTGTTTAACTAATTCCTCTATTTCCTTTTGTCCCCCATTGAGCACTGTAGACAATGGAAATAATAAAAACAAGTGAAACTCTGGTAGTCACTCAGGAGCAGATGTAGCTTCCCAATTCAATGGGTGCACTATATACTAAACTATACTATACATTTGGTGGGGAGCCCAAAAGCATAGGCTAGTGTCTTCTGCCCCTCAGGATGGGCCCAACTCCCCACTCTGGGCATTGTGATCTGGCACAAAGGATCATTCAGGCAACCAGCAAACCTGAGTGGCACCAGATTGCAATGACGACAGTGGGCAGCCAGGCCCAGTCCTGCAGGACAGAAAACATCGCTGTGAGATGAGTTTGGGTTCACTCTCCAAACCCCCCACATCTCCTCTGGCACTGACGGAAGAAGTGTGTTGCCTAGGGTCCAGTCAAAATGATACTCCTTCATGATGTTTCAATATAAATACCTATTAATGGAGTATATAAAACAATCAGTGTTTTTGCACCCTTGGTTTCATGATTTCTGTGCGTGCAATTGAACCCATAAACCCATGAAGCCATGCCTGAATTCAGTAGGTGGTTTTTACAAGTATCAATTTTCAGGGTGATCCAGGTGTTAGAGGACCAGTTGGTCTCCCAGGTCCACCAGGAGAAGGCCTTCCAGGACCAAAAGTAAGTCAATTAAACAGTTTTGTCTCACTTCATCAACAAATTTCTAAAAAAAAAAAAGAAATATAATGTTTAATATACAAATAATATATATTTGTACATACACACACACTGCAGTATTTTCTGTCTTCATGCTATTCTAGAAACAACTGGTCCAATGAATAAGATAGAAGGGGAAGTCAGTGTCCTCATTTTGCAGATGGGAAAACAGAGATAAAGTAGTTAATTGACTCACCCAGGCCAAGTGCTATTTTGTCTCTTACTATGCACAGAAAAAAAGAAATTTGTTAATTTAGTGATTGAGATCTGTCCAAGAAGTGTCACTTTTTCCAAACTTACTATGGGGAGGATCCTGCCTCCCTACAATCCCCAGCCACGAATTGCTAACAACAGGGTAGGATGCAACGAGCCTGCAAACTGGTTTTGTATTGACTGCACATTACAGAGTAATGCTCCCAGAGGTTCAGTCCACGTTAGCATGGCGGACAGGGTCTTGGCCAATGGATCTGTGACAACACTGATCAAATGGTACACAGTTATAGGGATGGGTATGCCTGTCGCAGAAGACAATGTAGCCCAGAGGCTGCAATAGTAACCACAGAGCAGCCACAGCCTGTACACTGGGTACAGGATTGGGCCTGTAAGTGGGACCCACTGTATGGTTAGACCCTTACCAATGATTAAAACAAAAATTATGCACATAGAGATCAATTCATCAAAGGAGTAACAAGCACATTTTGTGTTTCAAAGTCTATTTATTTTCAAATTTTGACCAACAGATCTAGAGAGAATTATTAGAGCTATATTTATATAAAATTCATGAATGTTAAAATGTGTTGGTTGCAGTTATCTTCATGTGAATAACACAGAAAATCCATAATTTTCTTTAGAATTCCATTAAAAATGAAACGTTTATAAATAGGCAACAAAGTACCATTTATTTGTTTTGCCATATACACCTCTACCACGATAGAACGCGACCCGACATAACACGAATTCTGATATAACGCGGTAAAGCAGTGCTCTGGGGAGGGGCGGGGCTGCGCACTCCGGCGGATCAAAGCAAGTTGGATATAACACAGTTTAACCTATAACGTGGTAAGATTTTTTGACTCCCGAGGACAGTGTTATATCGAGGTAGAGGTGTAATTAGTGCACGTGTCTTGAGGTGTTTTAAAATTAATTTAGTGCTGATGGAAGGTGCTATATTGGATATTTTAGTTCTTTATCCACAGGGCAATCTTCTCCTCACTGCCCCACCGTGCCGCATCCTTTCACTGGAGGGTTCACCTCTAAAGGTGGGAGTGATTCACTATCAGTGCCCAGTCAGTCCTTAGTGACTTCTCTGAAAGCTGAACCATATTACAACCATTAGTTATCTGATAAAATTTGAAAAACAAATATCTCCTTATTGTCTCTCTGATGAATCCTGGCCATGGTACTTCTAGGACAGGGATGGGCAAATTTTTAGCCCGAGGGCCACATCTGGGTATGGAAATTGTGTGGTGGGCCATGAATGCTCACAAAATTGGAGGTTGGGGTGTGGGATGGGATGAGGGCTCCGGCTGGGGGTGCGGGCTCTGGAATGGGATAAGAAATGAGGAGTTCAGGGTGCGGGAGGGGGCTCTGGGCTGGGGCAGAGGGTTGGGGGTGGGTATAGGCGCTGGCTGGGGGTCCAGGCTCTGGGATGGGGCTGGGGATGAGGGGTTGGGGGTGCAGGAGGATGCTCCGAGCTGGGATTGAGGGGTTCAGAGGGCATGAGGGGGATCAGGGCTAGGGCAGGGGGTTGGAGCACAGGAGGGGGTCAGGGGTGCAGGCTCCAGATGGCGCTTACCTCAAGCAGCTCCCGGAAGCAGCGGCATGTCCCCTCTCTGAATCCTAGGCAGAGGCACAGCCAGGCGGCTCTGCGTGCTGCCCCATCTGCAGGCGCCGCCCCTGCAGCTCCCATTGGTCATGGTTCCTGGCCAATGGTAGCCGTGGAGGCAGCACTTCGGGCAGGGGCAGCATGTGAAGCCCCCTGGCTGCCCCGAGCTGGAGGGGGGGACATGCCGCTGCTTCCAGGAGCTGCATGGAGTCACAGCATGCGCAGAGTGGGGCAAGCCCCTGACCCCGCTCCCCAGCTGGAGCTGGGAAGCAAAACTCAGATTAAAATGACTGAAGGGCCAGATGTGGCCCCCAGGCCGTAGTTTGCCCACCCATCCTAGGAGGACATCACACATTACTGAGGAGTAACATGAAATTGTGTGATGGTATAAGAATTTGTCATGTGTGTTTTATTAGATACTGTATTTAACATGTGTGGGTTTTTCTCCGTTTAGGGAAATGTAGGACGGCAAGGGTCCCCAGGCCCCCTGGGACCTCCAGGTGAAGGTATTCAGGGATCTAAGGTATAAAGATTCATTGACTTCAGTACTCATACGTAGCTCAGGGGAGAACCTGACCATCACCATATAAAGGAATTGAGAAACAGATTGCCTGTTTGCATTGCGTGCGGGTGGTTTTTTGTTTCCTTTTTTTTTTTTTTTTAATACCCTGGTTGGCTAAGGGGCTGAAGGTGGAGACTGAAAAGAGTAACATGAGCATCAACAGTGACTGTCCTCTTTCTCCCTGCTAGATTAACAGCAAGGTCTAGGGGAGGTGGCCCAGGAGCCTCCAGGACAAAGTCTCAACTAGTCTCAAATATAGTTAGCCTTGCAAGTGGGCACCAAAAAACAAGGCCACCTTTCCCTGTTCCTTTTCTATCAATCCCTGTGATGCACACTTGTGCCAAGCTTGGAATAATTCTATTAACTGTCAGTTGGGAAGGAGAAGGCGCAACACTGAGTATAGATGTCATGCTCCTCTTCTCCTATAATTGGTACTTTTACACTAGGAAAGGATGCGTAAGTGGAGAGTGATGATTCAGACCAAAGGGATGGGAGAGAGGAATGAGGGGGAGAGACCAAGAGAAGATGAGAAGAAAAACAGAAAAAGCCAATTTTATTTTAAAATATTAAGAAGGAAAGGAGTCATATGTGGCTCGCCTGTGCAGCTCTTATTCACCCTGGTGAGAACTTGTTCCTGTGAGAAGTCCCATTCACTTTAATTTGTCTATTTACACAAATAGGTACTCAGCAGGGTGAATAAGGGATTCACAAGCTGGCCCTTCCCTTTTGAGGAAGCTCAAAAATATTCTTGATGGGAAGCAAGGAAAGCATATGCCAAAATATATCTGCATAAAGAAATCTACATGACCTGTGATATCGTTCAGTATATTCATTAAAATATAGCTTGAAACAATTTTGCTGTGAATATTTAACATTAATATATGATGAATGGTCATCAAGTGTTAACATTTCTGACTGAAACATCATTAGGGTGAGCAAGGAATTCAAGGAATGCCAGGACCTCGGGGGCCTCCTGGGGAAGGACTACTTGGACCAAAGGTACAGTATATAAATGAAAGAATGTCTGGTGCCCAGTACTCCCCTGAAGTCAACATACTGGATTAAACTCCGAGTGGAGTTACTTATATTCTGTGGAGAGAGACTAGGGGATGAGAATTTGTAGGGCAATTATGTAATAGAGAATATAGTTAGAGACAAGGAAAATCAGTAAACAGATGTCATATTTTATCTTGATTAGGTGCAGTGGTATGCAGAACTTTTTAAATTAAGTTTTTACTAATGTGACAGCAGATTGTTCCGTTTGCCATCTAGCTCAGTGGAGCCTTCCCCTTGGAGCGTCTACTCTGTCTGATATAGTATGTCTTCTTTTCATCATCATGCCCGCTTCTTAAAAAGTGAGCCAATGAGAAATTCACAGTAGAAAGCCAGCATTTCAACTCCAGTATTTTCTTCCCCCACAGATATTAATTTGATTACATCTTACACACGTCAAAGTGCAAGGAAGCAATGAAAAGCTTTATCTGAGTTTAGTACAATTTAAACGTACTGTTGTAACTAACACTGGGCTTGATCCTGCAAGGTGTTGAACACCTCATTGTAAAATGCTCATTGACTCCTTTTAAGGTCAGTGGGATTTGAGAACATCCAGCCCTTCACAGAATCAGGCCTTCAGTTTAAAGTTTATAAAGTACCTTTCACAATATTACAATTTAAATATATTTTGAAATATGACACATAGAACTTATTACAATAAAAAGGAACAGAACTTTGGTAGAATGGTTTTTAGTTCTTTCCACCAGCTGCACAAGGTTTCAACAATGACAGCTAGATATAAAATGAAAAGTTTAAATTGAAAGATGTGACTTACAGCTATTGTCTAACTAATGCATCATTCCAAGGGTGATCGCGGTGCTGCAGGTGAAAGGGGAAGAAAAGGAGAAAAAGGCAACATGGGTGATCCTGGTTTGTCCGGAGAACCTGTGAGTTCCTACAATTTATCAATGAGTTTGTTTTAAACAAATTTTAAACGCCCTAAGTATATGGCTGCGTAAAGTGTTTTCATCACTATTTAATTGCAAATAATCTGAAATACTTATGAAAAAAAAGTCAAACTATGCAAGGATTTTAAAGACAGAATTCCTTATAAAATACACATTCCCTTGCTCAGTGAGAGTCCAGAGGTCAAAACAATAGGTGCAGCTTCTTCCTTAGAGAAGTGAAAGTCAATCAACTTAAAGGTACACAACCACATAGTTCTGTTCTAAAGTCAAATTTAACTGTCCATCAACCCTCTCCATAAAAGAGAAATGATTAAGTGGGGGCATGTGTGTGTGGAAAGGAACACTGATGCTGGGGAAAGACCCAAATAATCATCACAGCAAGGAGCGGAGAGAGAGATGGGAAAAGTCTGATGACCAACTCCTCCTCTGCCATTTGCTTCTTGTTTAGTGGGCTTTATTTGTGTGTTTTTTCATTTTTTTAAATAAAACTGCCCCAGCCCTTAACCCTGGTATTGAGCCTATCATTGTCTACTTGTGCACACGAACGGGAATTATGGCAATCCTAGAGTTCTTGCAGCCACTCCTATAGTAGCAGGTTGGGAGGCAGAATGTTCTGGGAGCTGGCACTTGCAGAGCATGGCAGGCAGAAAGTAATTTGCATGAATTCTCCCGTCTCTGGATAGATAGTAACTCACAGCCCTACAGCTGGAGGTTTGGGGTCTTCTGGTCTCCATAGCATTTTGATCATTCTTCTGACTAGACTCCAATTAAAGCTGCAGTCTCATAGGACTTGTGCTGCCCAGAAGACGGTAGATATTTTGTGTTGGACCGAGCCCTAATACTTTAACTGTACATTTTTATAGAAAAGAGAGAGTTCTTATTATCTAAATATTATATAAATTACAAGGCTGATAAAATAATAGTTCAAATTACATTAGTGGTTACTAATTAATTGCTAATAGCTAAATTATAGTCTTCATTGCAGGGCAGTACTGGACCCAAGGGAGAGCAAGGCCTAACAGTAAGCAAATCTTGTTGTAAAGATACAAATTAAATGCAAGATGTTATGAGTTAATGAATCACATGGGGATTATTATTTGGAATGTTTCCTGACTGAGTTTTACATTGAGAAAAAATGTTAGTAGACTCGCAACCGGCTATATTATACACATTTAAGAAACAATATAAAAGGTGCCTGACTTAAGTCCCATTGACTTTAATGGGACTTAAACACTTCTGTAAGAGTTTTGCTGAATTGGGGCCCTGATGCAGTTCAGACTCAGCAGAGGCATAATTAAGCATGAAAGACTATGGCATTTTTTATCAGAACAAATATCTGGAATTAAATGATTGGCAAGGACAATATTATAGGTCATCTGAGAGTGTACAATTGTTAAATAATGTGCTATGTTATTATTTTCTATTTTTTTCTTACTTAGAGAGAAGATATAATTAAATTAATTAAAGAGATATGTGGTAAGTGTTTAATCAACCTTACATTTCAGATCCTGTTTATTAATTTACTTTTACCTTCTCCTCTTCCACCATAAGTACAGAATAAATTTATCATTGCATAGCTAGTATATAGTAATATATTAAGCTCTACTCAAGCTATAATGGCAGTAATATCTATTATATACACACACACAAGACTAAGTATAATAATAAATCCAGAACTAATCATGATCTGATTTTTATTCTTCCTCTACAGGCTGTGGTATTAAATGTAAGGAAATACCTATGGAGCTTGTGTTTGTGATTGACAGCTCTGAAAGTGTGGGACCAGAAAATTTTGAGATAATTAAAGACTTTGTCATTGCTTTAGTAGATAGAGTAACTGTAGGCAGAAATGCTACCAGAATTGGTCTTGTACTCTACAGTTTAGAGGTTCGGCTAGAATTTGGACTTAACAGGTACACAACCCAACAAGATGTGAAACAAGCAATTAGAAAAATGCTGTATATGGGGGAAGGTACATATACAGCAACTGCTATCCGCAAAACAACACAGGAAGGATTTTTTGGTGCTCGAACTGGTGTGCGAAAAGTAGCTATAGTATTAACAGATGGACAGGCAGATAAGAGAGAGGCTATTAAACTGGATATCGCTGTCCGAGAGGCCCACGCAACCAACATTGAAATGTATGCAATAGGAATTGTAAATACTTCAGATCCAACACAAGTTGAATTCTTGCGTGAACTAAATCTGATTGCATCAGATCCTGACAGAGAACATATGTATCTCATTGATGATTTTAATACTCTTCCAGGTGAGTGCATTTTGTTGTAATTGTGTTAAATATTTGTAAATTAATCCAGAGCATGCTAAACTTGTCCAATGGAAAGAATGGCTTGTTTTTCTTTCTGTGTAAACTTCCAGAGATCTTGGCCTAGATTTTGAGCTATACTGGGTGCATCTTGAAGGATGGGGTGCAGCAGTTTCTGAGGCTGGTAAAGGAATGGTCCAACCCATAGCATAAGTTAGAGCAGCTCAAAGACTGCTCTAATTTACACTAGGCTGCACATGCCCGAATGGAGTCATTCTGGCAGCTGGGAATTGCAGGAGCACTGAGATGGTCCACTGACACCAGTTATGCCAAAGGGCTGGGTAGAGGTAAGGTACTGAGCTTCTACATTGGCTCAATGCCAGCCACAGGTTCCACTTACAAAACAGAAATTCCCAAATAGGCAATTAAGCCAGGTGTCCAGCTGATTTGCACCACTGGCATAATGCAAAGCATCCAGAGCAGGGAGCCAGATGAGACAAATCCTGATTTCTCACTCTCTTCCATGGGATTAGTTACATGACGAAGGCAAGTAAGATTGGCCTATTATGAGGTAATGACTAAGAGATATTTTAAGAGATTCAGAGGCTTGAATAAGCACAGCTGGCTGAGGTTAGAGACACAGATCTTATTTTATGCCACAATGTGCCTTGCACATTGGAGTACAAGTAATGGAGGTCTGAGGGAGCTGGAAGACTTATGGTGAATAGTCCAGAGGGGCTGTCTGTATTATTAATTTTCATTATTTATTATTAATTAATAATTATTATTATGGCACATAAATAACCTTATTTCCTGATTGAGTCTCTATTTCCATAAATAATGCTGTTCTCTTTTCTTTAAGCTTTGGAGTCCAAATTAGTAAACCAGTTTTGTGAAGATGAGCATGGTGCCTTAATATATAATCGTATTGGAAATGGTGCAAGCATAAGTGGACCATCTATCCATTCATTGTCTTCCAGTTCTTCACATTACTTACTTCACAGCATCAACAATGTTAATGGACAATCAGTTTCATCAGACAGCCATGGAACATCTGTGAAAGAAAGAAAGCTTTCTCAACCATTAGTTCCGGTATAAAAATGAATCATTTATTTTAATAACCAACTGGCTTGTATGTACATCCTTGTCTGCTAATGGATGCAGTATATCAGATTTTTTTCCCCCCCTAGTTCCCTCTACTGGTTGGAGTTTCTCCTTTACCTCACTGGGAATTCTGAGAGCTATATGTTGTGAATGAGAGTTCTGATGCAGCATGTATGCAGTTAACTAACAATAGTAACAATATCCATGAGGAGACAAGGATTATTACAATCATGTTTAATATAATACATTTGTACTGTAATATAAAGAATGAGATATTGAAAGGGCAGTTATACTCTGAAAAGTAACTCTAAGAAGTGGCATTTCTACTCTATGAGTCTATATTATATTTTTTCTGATTACAGAATTTTGAACAGCCAAAACCACAAACCTGTCTTGGGATGAGAGTCAAACTGTATTCTTCTGGCTCATGCATCACCACCAGAAACCAATATTCCCCACCAAAATTTAGATAACAATTTTCTGGCTTATGCATGATCCAGAATAGAAATCACTTCACCCTCACATAATACTACAAATTTAGCTAATCAGAGTAAAAAATAACTTCTTTTTGTCAGGAAAAATAAACAGATTTAACTTTGAATTTCCATAGGGAGCTAATCAGGATACTAAAATGATGCCATTTTTCGTCACTCTTAGTACCTTAACAACACTTTAAGAAACAGCACTGATGGGTTCCAAAAAGAATCCCATCTAGTCCTAGGCTCAAAAATCATAGTGACTTGTGGATTCTTTAGGAGCCCACCTCATTTTTAGGGACATGGTTAACCTAAAAGCATTTTAAAATTAAATAAAATTAAACATTTGTTTCAGACCAAAGAATCATCTGTGGCAGTTTATGAAGACGGGCAGCCATCCTTGCCCTCAGTGAACACCAGAGGTATTTTCACTATCATCTTGCTCCTTACTATTTCACGTCCTAATTCTTCTAGGCCAGACAAAAATCAATTATTTTTTCTTTACTTTCAGTAGTGGTATCATCACTGCCATCATCACCGCCAGACAAAATGCTGTCACCATCTCTTTCATCAGCTTCCTCTGTGTTGCTTACTCCCAGACCAGGTTATACATTATACCCAACTTTTAATTTTGATTACTTGAACATTAAGCTTTATTAAAGATCCTGAATCAGAGTTACGTCTTCAGGACTAATTCATTTCCTAGATTTGGTAAAGCTATGATGGGGAGGAGAGACTATTTTAGCATTTAGAGTGGACTTAGTCCCATTGCTTCTCCAGCATCTTCGTCCTACATGCCCTGCCTTCCCCAACGGCCAGGTCTTGCTGTTTCCCTCATGCTGGGAACAGGAACAGAGGCCAGGGTCAGAAAGAATCTGAGAGAAGGTCTGCACTAGATGTGGGTGTGATTCCCAGTACAATGAGACATATTTTCACGAGCTCTCATCGAGGTAGCATGCTAAAAATAGAATGTAGCTGTGGCAGCATGAGCTGTGTGTATTGTGAATCCATGATTTGTGTTTCAGCATGAGCTGTGGGACAGAGACCCCCAATACATACCCATCAGAGATGCTAGGCACATACTCAGGGCACCTAACCCATCCCACAGTTCACACTGCTGCAGCTACATTCTTTTATCATTGATTTATTTCGCTTATCAGCTCTTCTGTTATGTGCAGTACTTGATTACCACCTATTGCCATTAGAAGTGAAGTGTGCACATCTTAGAAAAAACACTGAATACAATTTCTGATTCTAATAACGGCTAATGCTAGGGCTCCAATACCACAGTGATGGATGCTGTACCAGAACCTAGATGGACTATGTATTGTAGATAGTTAACATAAAGGTTTTAGAACCAGAAACGCTCACACACAATACCAATGCACGAATACTGTATATACTTCCTAGTTCTCTAGCCTACCAATCTTTCCTCCCTCTTAGTTTCTGGTAAGATTGACTGCTGACAATTAGCTTCCAAAATTATCAGAATGTTTCCAAACATTTTTTTATAAAATAGTCTGTATGGATAATAATTTTATAGCATAATATTTCTAATTATAATTTTTATGATTTGTGAAGGTGCTTGTACCTTCACTCACAGAAACATGACAGCTAATCTAATAAAGGCCCACATTTAAATTAGGCTTCCAAATTTCAACTAAAATCTTTAAAAATTTCAACTGAAACTTTAAATTGCTCTATCACATTAGCAGCAATAAAACAGTTTAAAAGGCACAAACAATGAGATGTAAATTATTTTCACATGCTGAGAGCTCTTTTTATCCTTTGTTTTTTAAGAAAATATCCTGGATCCACGATGTAAATTGAGATTAGATCAAGGGTCATGTCGTGTGTATATAATAAAATGGTACTATGATAAACAAGCTAATGCCTGTGCTCAGTTTTGGTATGGCGGTTGTGATGGAAATGCAAATCGCTTTGACGTTGAAGATGAATGTAAAAAGGCCTGTGTATTTCATTCTGGAGGTAAGACTGTATAATTTTCTCTACATTAAAAACTAGTATTTTATGTGATTCCCTAATATGGTTAATTATCTGGTATCTTATATTACATACAAAAAAAAGTTAAAGAATGTTATTAACAAAGTCAAACATTCAAAAGGTAGAAAATGACTAAATTAAGCCTGCCTGTGCAACCTTAATGTTGCCCACTTATGCATAAGCAATATGATACACGCTTTAATTACATGACAACATACTATTTTTTCTGTAGGATCATATTCAGTAGTACATAGAATGTAAGCTTTCTGGGCAAGGATTACCTTTTCACTACATATTTGTACAGCACGTAGCACAATGGGATGCTGATCCTTGATTGGGGTCCCTAAATGCTACTGTTAAATAATAAAAGTAGGCAAATTTAAATTGTACATATGGGTTGGTTTAAGTAACATTTTATTTTTTGTATAAGTCTCTAAACAGTATAATTATGTACTTTCTTCCCCTCTGTTACAGAAGACTAAAGTTTGATTTGAATTCTGCAACAAAGACGACTTCTTTTTTTTAGTAAAAACTGAAAGCTTTACACAAGTGCTGTTTTTACACTTGTAAAGTATTTTGATATAATACTTAAATAGATCACTGTACATCAACTTACAATTTGAAAGCAAATACTACTCAGGGGTTATCACTATGTCTGTCAACCTGCTATCTACCAATATTAGAGCTTCAACGAGAAGGACCAATATTTTAAGAGGAAGTGGCATAGAGGATTCTTGGGTTATTTTCCTAGCTCTATCAATTAACAGTTCCATGATCTTGGGAAAGTCACATATGTCCCCTGTGTTTCAATCCACCCATTTGTAAAATGTAAGACTGTAGTATTGCTCCCTTATGGGGAGGGTCTGAGGCATAAGTAATTTATGTTTACAAAGTACTTTAAGATCACTATGAAAGTCACTGTATACATGCATAATATTATACTTGTAACTATTCAAAAAACATAGTACTTCTGATGTAAAGACTTTCTTTAGTTTCCATTGGCTAGTAAGATACAAGATGAATCTATTTAATAATGCCTACAAACATATGTGACTGATTATAACAGTAACTGGCATTGCTAAAATAGATCAATTCAGTCCTAAAGTAGTTTTTATTTTTAAAGTATTGTTTTTCTGAAAGCAGTGTTTGATTTTTAAATGCATTTTAATATTCTAACCTCAACATTTTTTTAAAACTCATTTAACTTGCGTTCAGAAGAACTGCAGCATAGGCCTGACAATAACAAGCCATTCTGAATTCCTGTTTAAGTCACTGCCCATGTGCACTGCTGCGTTTATGTGCATGCATAACAGTATATGATGTATTTTTTATGAATCAAATTCTATACTACAAAGCTTGTTTGTAATAAAATTATTTTGTTTTTACTGGCAGTAGAGAGAATTGATAATAGCAGCTTTGCAAAACTAAAGAGCTGTCTCGATATGATATTTAACAATCACACAAGTTCAGGTTAACACTTACAGTTGTACATGTTCCTGCTGTAGTCACTGGAAGTAATGCCACTGATTTTAACAGGATTGAACCTTCTAGGTTATGCTCTCCACTCATGTACACGCTGCCAATCACTGCATATCTGGGGTTTTATATAAATATCTGCAACAGTAAGTCCAGAATATCAACACAATTTACAGCATTTATGAGGTAACAATTCACCTTTATGGAATATACTGCATTTCCTACATGTAATCAGTGAAGCCCACAACATGTCTGTGATTTTTACTAAAAATACATTGGGGGGGGGCAGGGGAGGGAAACAGTCAGAGCACTTCAGCCCTGCTACTGCATCAGGGGCTGACCGCTGATGCTCCAGCCCCAGGGGGAATGACCCAACCCTGGCCACTGCTTCAGCCCTGGAGCTGGTGCTCTGGCGGCAACTGCTCTGGCATCCCGGGGGCCACTGCTCCAGCAGCTTCGGGGCTGACCACTGCCTGCTGCTCTGGTGGTCCCAGGGCTGACAGCTGCTACAGCCCTGTCACTGCGGAAGTAGTCACAGAGATCTCAGAAAGTAATGGAATCTGACCTCTCTGACAGAATCGTAGCTTTACTCTTTACTAACCTTGCAAGCCAATGTGAGTTATATCTTTAGAGCACAGCTCTGATTCCAGACCAGCTACTATATCGATACAATCTGACAATTCTTCAATGGCCTACATGACATGAGTTGCTGGTTTTAGTCCAGTTCCAAGTACATAGCTGACCATATTACAACACCATTATTTGTACCTTTATTGGTAGTCTTAACAGAGAAACCAATAAATGATCTATTATCTTACCTACAGAGGTGATCTCTACAGAATACAGATGAAGAAACTAGAAATGCTGCTATCTGTGTTAGAACTGATCTATAAAGAGATTACATCAGGCTGCAGTACTGTCAATCTGGAATTTTTCAAAACCACTACATTCACTGGTATAGAGGAGACGTAGACTGTAAAATTAAATATTACATTTACTATCCCAGTTTATATTTATGCTTACTTCCTCCTACTTGCAGTAACTGATGTGATTGTCAATCAGTCTTGCTTTATTTAATATATTATACACACACACACACGCAAAATGTTTAAAAAACCAAACTTATTAAGTTTGTAAAAACCCACCACTCAAAGTTAGGAAATGCCAGAACTATGGCTGCATGTGCAACCTTAATTCAGCCCCCTTGTGCATATGCATTATGATACTGTCTTGAATTACATGATCATAGGCTATTTTTCCACAGGACCCCTGCCTCATTTAGTGCACAGAAAGAACAGTGCTCAGTTTATGGTCAGCTATTTTTGTTTTTTTTCTCATTGTTCAATGTGTGGCCCCAGACTTTATTTATTGCACACTATTCAAATCCTGCTCAGAAGACAAAATTATTAATTTCCTCCTGGGCTTTCCTAGGGTGCTTATCACTATAGTATCTTAGTCCACTTTGTGACATCTAAGACTATTTTTTTAAGAGTATTTAGCATTACATGACACTTTATATGTTCACAGCACAGCTCACATGGACTTCAGTTGCAAGCGCTCAGCACTTCTACAACCTCAGCTCCCAATACCAGTCTCTTTGTCCAGCCAGTCCCATCTCAACTCCCAGTTTCCCTCTCCTGCTGCCAGCCTCCAGTTCCATTCCCCCCAGGCGCCTTGTCCCAATCTACTACGGTTCAGCTCTTTTCCCCTCTACATTCAAGTCTGGCAGCTTCCTCCTACTCACTGCTAGGCCCAGCAGAGGGGTCACTGGAAGCACAAGAGAGAGAGGCATGCAGCAGTTCTCCAAAAAGGGCCATATTTTTGGCATTTAATATACCCACTTCATCCCCCACACTTACCCTGAAAGGATTAATGTAGGCTAAGAAGGGGGCCAATTAACCAGACAGGCCATAGCTGAGGGGAATGAGGTGGTTTAAGTTACCCCCTTACTTAATAATGAGGGAGCCCAGCTGAGGAGGAAAGAACTGGACTGGATTAATAGACAGGATGTTGGCAGCAAGGAGTCTGCAGTCACTCCCTGGGAGAAGGGAGGTGTAGCTGGAGGCTACAGAGCCAAAGTAGCCTACAGTTATTCCCTGGGAGGAGGAAGTTTGGGGGCAAAACCAGGGGGGGAGCCAGAAGGTTAGAAAATGCTCCAGGGAAAAAGGAGAAAGGTCCAGAATGGAACACACTTGTCTGCTGATTAGAGGATCCCTGAGCTGGAACCCAGAGTAGAAGGCTGGCCCTGGTTCCCCCTACCATCCACTGGGGAAGTGGCACCAGTTAGGTAGTGAATGGGAAGACTGCCTGAGCCTGGTTGTAAGAAGGGATTTTGATACTCCAGGAAAGGGGAGGATATATGTGACTTGGCTGGAGGGCTAAGCCACAAACACAGAGCCTCTTGCCTTGCAAAAAATACTGCTTCCTTTTTTGTAAAATTATTATATTTGAGCTAGAGAACTGTTTTTGGTTATGACATGTATGGGTTTTCTTTTATAACTCAAAGAGCAATTTGATAAAGGAAGGCATGTGGGAAATTTCAGTTCACTACATTTTTTTGATGGCTTCCACACACTATATGGGACTAAATTAATCCATGGTGTAACTAGAGTGAAGTTAATGGAGTTACACCAAGGATGAAATTATCTAAAGATTTGTAATATTATTTACGGAGCAGTAGAACCCACAGCTCCCAGTCAGGGATCAGGACTCCATTGTGCTAGCCAAAAAGATGGTCCTTACCCCAAACAGCATATGATCTTGCCACTGGTGTGCATCATGCCATCCTTCACTAAAATAGCTTAATGTAAGTAGTGGTATGTAATCAAATTATTTTAAGTAAACAATTAATGTATTTAACAGGTATATTTTTTCTACAAGAAATGTACCATGCATTACTTTGATACTTTTTACAGTAGACATGTCACCTGTGTTCAAAATGTGAATAATAGCGTGGTATCAGGTATGACTGAAGATTCACTATTCTATTTACATGCACAATGCAAAAGTAATCGGTAACAGACAACCTGATTATTTATCTGATCCATAATTTATGATCTTTTCTCAAAGTAACCTGATTGCAGATATGACATATTATATAAGTGTTTGTGTATCCTTGGATGCTATTTATTATTTTGGAACTTTTACTGTTGCTGGTGGAAATTAAGCAAAAGAACGGGAACCAGTCCAACACCTTTTCTGTATTTCCAAATAACACTTTTTAAACGCATTCAGATGTGTAGAAGCAGATAGACTAGATGTCTCCAAATGTTCTTACTGAATTTCAGACTCTCCAGATATTTATGAATCCTGAAAAAGCTTTTAAAATTTAGTATTGCTAAACATTTTTATGAAGATCTCTTGGCATCTTCAAAACCTGAGTTTACACAAAAGCAAGGGGAAGACGTTAGACTCTTGCTAACTCAGATTGAAAACATAGTCTGGTTCAAGAGGACCTACCCAGAAGAAAGCGAGTAGAGATGTAGGTGAGGTGAAGGAAGAGAGGAGGCAACAGCTGAAGGGGCTGAAACCCATCCCAGCCCCGTACCCAAAGCTGATTACAGCAGCAAGAGCCCTCTGCAGCCGAGAGACTCGACGTTCGTAACTTAATAGAAAGGCGGCTACATTTAAAGGCGTGAAGCGGTTTCCATTGGCAGAGCCGCCAGCAAACCCGCACAGCAGCGTCCAGTACTTGGTGGTGGTGGTGGCCGTTGTTGTCCCGCAGATGCCCAGTCAGCACAGGTTACAGACCCGGGTTTACAGTCAATTTCCTGGCAAGCTGGTGCCAGGTTTAGGGGATTGGGGGAGGAGAGGGTAAGACCCCCCGACCCTGGGTCTGCCCCCTGCCGCTGAGCCCAGAACAGCTCCGCGCAGGGAGCGATCAGCCCGCAGCAGGCGGGCCCTGCACGCAGCGGCCGCGGAGGGGGAAGGCAGTGGCTAGGGCTGCGCTGAGCCAGCGGACACAACTCCGGCGCGAGCCCCCCGGCCCGTGAGGCGGCAGTAGCCGCGCGGCTCGGGGCGCTGTTTCGGGAGAAGCGCCGCGCGATGGGCGCGGAGGGAGCAGCCCCACCCCACGCTCTGCGGGCGGAGCCGGCGGCGGCAGCTCCTCCCAACGGCGGTCGCGCCTGGGAAGTTTGGTCCTCGCTGCGCTACGTCGGGCAGTTGCCAAGCCCGGTGCCGGACGCGGGAGAGAACTCCGCGGAGCCGTTGGCGGGCCCTGGCGAGGACCGTGGGGAGTGATGATGTCTGTGCTGGACGCGCTGTGGGAGGACAGGGATGTTCGCTTCGACATCTCGCCGCAGTGAGTGGCGCCCCCGGGCCTCCCCTCTGCGAAGCCTCCTTCAGCCCCGTTGCGGGGCCTGGTTCTCAGGGTGGTGGGGCCGCTTTGGGGAGCCTGGCGCGGCCCTGCCAGCCCGCTAGGGCCCGAGACAATTCCCGGCACAGCCTACAACAGGGGGCTGCCTTCGTCCAGAGAGGGGCCGCGCTGGGGACTGGTCACTTCACGACGAAGTAGTGCATGCTGGGAGCAGCCGGGCCCTCCGGCTCGGATGTGCGGTCGGCATCCTTTTTACAAGGGAGCAGTGCATGCTGGGAGGGAGCGGTGCAAGGAGATGCAGGGTCAGCCTGTGAAAGCCTGAAGGCTCGTGGGAGTCCTACGGTAGCACAGATACTAATCCTGCTATTTAAGTTTAGGGACTGGAGTGTAGTCAGGGCTCAGAAACAGGCAGTAGGTTGCTCATTCCCTGTACCAAATCCTCTGGGAAACTACTCATCTATTTTCCAGAATCTCCACTTTCATTTAAAATAAAAAGTAAGCAAAGAATCTCAAAAACGTGAACTAAGTGTAACCAATGCAAAGATGGCCGCATACAAAGATATGTGCCATGTTCACTTAATCAAGGTGTTTACTCAGCATTGCTATGTGTTTAATTCCTCATGCAAGAAAGCAGGATCTTCACAGATCTGAACTATTTAAAGAGTGAATCTCAGTTTGGTGCTACATGTAAGTGGCATTTTGGAAGATACTGCTTCCCCCACCCCACGCATACACACTCACGATCCCAAGAAACCTCGCAGAGCCCACAGGCATACTGAAGCCACACCAAAGCTCACAGAGCACACTTTTATGTTTTGAACTTCTGCACAATCTAGAGTGATTTCTCATTTTGGTGACTCAGATGGGTGAAGCTTGGAAGAGTACTTCTCCTCTCCCACAAATCTGACCCCTGTTTATAGAACACTTTGGCCTTCATTGTTACCATATTTCTGGTTCCCAAAAAGAGGATGCTGCCAAAGAGGGAGAGCCGGGGGAGGGGGATGTTACTCACTGTAGGTGGGAGTCAGTGTTGCCCCCCATCACATGGGAGGGTGGCTGGCACAAGCCCAAGATGCAGCAACAGCCATCGCAGATGTAGGGGAGGGACTAATCGGGAACGGGACCAATCGGGACCCTTTTTGAGCTGCAGCTTGTCTGTTCTGAAAAACCCCTGGACATTTCATGTTATTTTAAAAATCCCTCTGCACGGAGAAAGAAGGCTCAAAAAAAAGAGGCTGTGTCTAGAAAAACCTGGACTTATGGTACCCTAGTGTGCAAGGTCAGATGTCTGAAGCAATTTCAGAAACATACAGTTATCTCTTGAATAGTTAGTGTGCCTCTTGTTCTTTTTTATAGGAAAGTTGGCTTCTATTTAGTTTTTTAAAAAATCTTTAAGTTATACGGTGTGTCAGGACATCATAGGAGCCAAAGCCTAGGGAATGGAGCGGGTTCTTGAAAGAGCATAATGAAACACACATCCTCTAAAATAATCATAGTAGAGAAAAAAAATCAAAGTTCACATCAATAAGTATTTTCTACTAAGACCCATAGCTAGCTGGATAAGACTGAAGGATGCTTCATGGTGAGAGAACAAAATTAAAATTGCTCTGGAATTTGAACTTTACTGCTGCAGTGTTGCTGAAGAAGAATTTGGTCCGTGTATTTGGGCATGTCTATTCCTGAATGTAGACTCAAAAGAAATGTACACATTAAGCTAATACACTAAAGCAGTGGTTCTCAACCAGGGGCACGTGTACCCCTGGAGGTACTCGGAGGTCTTCCATGGGGTACACCAACTCATCTAGATATTTGCCTAGTTTTAGAACAGGCTACATAAAATGCACTAGTGAAGTCAGTACAAACTAAAATTTCATAGACAACGGTTCGTTTATACTGTTCAATACATTGAAATGCAAGTACAGTGTGGTGACGATGCAGGAAAGGAAACAGAACGCCA